CGACCCACTGACATGTGAACCCGCCAACCCATATATTTATACAGGTTATATGGGTTGGGTTGGGTTGATGTTTCCAACCCATCAACCCGTTACCCGACAACCCGCCAACCCATATATTATATGGGTTGGGTTGAGTTTCTGAATTTCAACCCGCCAATCCGCCAACCCGTGACCTGCCAACCCGAACCCAACCCAATTGTCAGGCCTATGTAACACACTCTAGATTTTTTTTTTCTAGTTTACCTATAGTGCTTTCAACTAGAGAGCTTTGTATTCTTATATTTTTTACTTTCTTTTTTCATTACAAAATATTATGTGGTTAGGATATTATAATTTATTTAGTTATACTCATATTTTATAATAAGAATCATAAAGTTTAAAATAGTTTTACATATAACATGTCAATGACATTGAAACATTATCACTAAAAATAAATTGGCAACTATTTTTCTACGGATTATTTTCATATACATATAAATTTTTCATGAGCAATTGTAAGAAATTTATTAAAATTAGATTCATTATTATACATACATTAGATGATATTATTAACAACCCGACCCGACAAGCATAAAATTTTAACTTGTTTAAATTGGACACCCTTGAGTTTAAATCCTAGATTCGTAATTGCATTTATCCATACAATAATGATTTGACACTTATTTACAAGTGACATATAAACTTACGTCATACAAGTGTAAAACTATTCCAAACACAAAAACATGATTTCTTTAGAAACATTAGCTTCAGTGGTAACATCCATACTTGAATACAAGTCCAAATTTCTTAGGAATGCTTGTTTGCTCGATTAAAAACAAGAAGGGATTAACACAAATTTTAATTCTATACCTCTGTAACCAAACGGATTTATTTAATGGTAACCCACAGGCGCTGGAGCCTCCCTCAGTTCCTTACCTTGGAAATGGATGTCCTGCAACATTAACAAACTACTGTCAAAATTCATGTTACACAAACATGACCTATGTGTCAAAAAGGTTGCGTCAGACTTACAGAAGCAAAGTGGTTGACATCTCGATGATGAGCTTCATCAGCTCGAATGACAGTTATCACATCTTTCAAGGTTGCATCTTTTGGAAGCCTCCAGTAATCTATAGCAATAGCAGGAGCTGGAACATTCTCAATTGCACCACTTTCAATGTCCCTTAAAAACTCAGTATATGAATGCACAGCTTCTTCTTCAAGATACCCAACAATTCTATGTGCCAGTTTTGGAGATGATATGTATGCAACAAAAAACGCATTGAAGAACACCCCCTGAACTGCTAGAACCAGAAGTCGTTCATACCATTTTGGTTTCACGAGCTCCACCATTGTCATGAGGTGCATCCTCTCGTTCTCAGCTTCTTCAAGCAATGCTTTGATCCAACCACCACTTTGTTGGAATTTCCGTAGAGATCTCAGGTGGAGCAGCATTCCGCCCACCATTCCTGGGACTGCTGCTACAGTTTCAAGCATCATTGCACGGCAACCATATCGCCTCTGAAACATAGATAGATAGATAGATAGATTCAAGTCGAGATGAAGTTGAATTTTGAACTTAGAAGCTTTGGAACGCAGATTGATGCACAGGAGAGAGGGAATAACATGTGGTGTACGTACCTGGAAAAAGACATCGGTTGGAATTCTCAGGAGTTTCACGGTTCTTAAAGCGAATTTATCAAGGAAATTCTTCGGTACATGGTGCTTGCTGAGATCTATCGACAAGTTTGATTCGTAAGTATCCCATGGCTATAAAGAAAGAAACAGAGAGAAACGCAAACATGAATAAGATCATAAACGAAATGGAAATGTCCAGCTTAATATGCATCTCCAACGAGTAAAAATGCGATTGTAAATGCAAATCTGTGATTCAATAGCATGCTGAGATCTCAAATCGCGTATGTGTTCGAAGAATTAAAGCGACGGGTTTAAAAATAATGTCAAAATAAGCAACCGCAAATTTGTTAGTTACCATGAAACAGTTCCACGGCCATTCAGAACCATCATCCCTGGTGATCTTAGATCTCGAAATTCCCCAATAGCTCGCAGGCATAACCTCATCTCCGCCTTCCTTCTTCTCAGTCCCCGCATCACCCTGCTTCAACGATGGCGGCTTCGCCGCAGGTTCTGCAGTGGAGCTCATCATCCTCCTCCACTTAAAGTTTCCGAAATCATCAGCTCGACCAATTACCCCCTGATGAAACGGCCTCAAATTCAGTAGCACCGCTGCGGTCAATTCCGGCGACCGCAACATGTTTTCTCCATGTAAATTCCGGCCATTGTTGATCATACACCTCCTCAAAATCGACATCGTAAGTAATCGATTCATTTTCGAAAGCGTGATCGATGGAAACAGTTAGGGTTTAGGGGGTCGAAGAAATCTGATTCAGTTTTAGATCGTTCTACACTTGTTCTTTCTCTCGGTGTTACTAGAGGAAACCAAATACACTGCCGTGAACAAACGGTTATTATTATATTATGAATGGAAATCTGATTGCATGCTTCGCGGTCTACTGGTTTAAAGATGTAGCACTCGCGCCGCACGCATGTGTGTTGGTACCGTACAACCCATTCATGCATGATGGATAAATAATGTAATTAAGTTGAGAAAATAATTGAAGCAGGTTTGTTTTAGTTCATATGATAATGATAGACTCGAGTTTTAAAATTAAGTGAATTTGTTATTATTATAAAAAAAGTAATTAAATAATAATCTCAAATTTATAAAGTTATTAAATGAGAAAATAGGTTGGGAGTGGAATGACAAGGACACACTTGAGTTACATGCATTTAACCTTACTTTGCCCCCAAGTTTATGGGGGATGCTTGGACATCTGCGTGGTCCATGAAGGGTACACGTGGAAACTTTGTGCCCCTGACTATTAGTTTGTAAATTTGACTGTGATGTGCTTTCAACGAATTGTACGAATTATTTGGAGGGTGTTTACTCTTAAGATCATTTTAACCTTAACATTTTTTTTTACTAAATACAGTATAAAAAGTAGCACACTTCTGTGTTCTTTTATTAAGAAAATAATTTTAAATATAAGTTTTTTTTTTTTTTTTTTTTTTTCTAAAAACATTTTCATTTGTAAACTTATTATAAAGCTTTTTATTATTTGATTAAGTTTTTACAAAACTTTTTACCATAAGTATTTATTGGTATAAAACGAATTTATTTGGAGTGTATATATATATATATATTAGCATTTTATAATTTTATCTTATATTTTCTTATTTCAAAGCTTTACAAATTATCTATGAGACAAAATATCATAAAATAATTAAAGTGTATAAAAAATTGGAATTAATTATTATATTATTAAAACAATCATTTTATTAAAAAAATTACATTTATATTATATTTTAAATATTAAATCTAAAATAAAACTATATTGTTAGATTAACATGAGATATATAAACTCAGACTTAGAGTAATTAAAACAAAATAAAATAATATGAATATTATCAAACTTGATATTAGTGAATTGTAATTTGATGTTATATTATTCATGACACCAATTTTGATATTATATATGAGCCTGAATTCGAAAAGTTTGAAGCCAAAATTGGTGTGAACACCAAAATTGATTTTGTAAGTTGTCATGCGACTATTATATTTCTTTTGTATTGTAAGATCGTTGGATATATGCATTATGTCTATAGTGTTGTGTTGATATGGTAGAATTTGCACGAGCAAAGCATATACATCATCCTTGGGTGGTGTGGAAGTGTTGTGGCGTGGTTGGGGTCACACCTCACAACGCAAGAAACCTTCTTCATCTTCTCCAATGTATAAAATTTCATGCATAGAATACAAATATTGGTTTGGTGATATAGAGTCGTGAGTACACCCTTAAGTAAGTGGTGCTAATGTTGTGTAGTAGCATTTTTGGTGTGATGGTTTGGTATGTATACTTTATGGTCTAAGTTTTTGTTGTAAGAGTCTTATGTGGCCACTCATCATCCAATTGAACACCACCCTCTGCTTAGGTGATGTTCATTTGAAGTGGTGACGTGTGTTGTTGGTAAGACCCTCTTATACTTTTTTTTTTTTTATTCTCCTATTTTCTATCTTTCTATCTATATATCTATTTCTCTCATATTATTTTTATATTAAAAAGTTAAGAATGTTTTGGCATGTTGGAGTTTGGGAAAGGCTTTCATTCTTTGTTGACTTCTAATGATAAAAGACGATAGACCAATCTCTTAGTCTCTAACTAATTTTGTCTATCTAGTAGCTACTCTTTGCTTTAGTGAGTTAAGTGAAATGAAAGTTGATTTTGCTCTTTTTTTCATGTTAATGGAAAAATATAGAAAAAATAGATAACAATAGAGGGACATATGTAACCAAATGGATCAAGATAGTATTAATCCACCTTGAACTTTTTGATGGTGGATTGGGTACTCGTTAAGTTATAAATTATTATGTTAGCTTTACATTTTAATAAACATTTTTATTAATAAAAAACGATCAAAATATTTATTAAGAAAGCATATATCTATATACTACCATTAGCTGTAAAGCTTGTTGATGTTATACAGTTTCATGTACTAAAAAACCAAACTTGTTATTTTAATACTTTAATGTAGAAAACGAGTTACATCTTACAACAAACAAACAAAAAAAAAAAGGTTGGACTAAACACGTAATTGATATAAGTTTAAACACCAGAAAATGTATTGCAAGACTTGCTTACACAAACGCACATCAAACATAAAAATAATAAGGTTTTTCCAACCCAAACCCAAGCCATTATGATTAATTATTATCAGCGATGATGATAAGCAGGGTTTTAAAGTCTCAAGTACATAATACATATAAAAAAGAAAACAAGCAAGTAGCTTTATTGTGTCACTAACAACAGATGAAGTCAAATATCAGCAGCAGCAGCATATATCAACTGTACATCAAACCCATCCATCCTCTCATCCTCATCTAACCCAAAATGTTCTATACCATTACCATATCACAATAAAAACACAAAAAAAAAAAAAAAAAAAAAAAAAAAAAGATCGATTAATTCAGCAGGAGGTGATGTTATTATTTCCAGCAAGGCTCTCATAAAACAGAATGTATCCATGGTCAGTGTTGCTTGCATACTCCTGAGCCGAACCAAATGAAGTCTGAACCGCTGACTCATCAATCATCTCCACATTCTCATCATCAAAAAACAGCCAATGGTTATGGCTTTTCACCAGACTCACATAATGCCCGTGGTTGGGCCCACTGCCAACATGGACCACCACCGCAAACAAAGAGTACTCACAGTCAGCATCTTCCATTGTGTTCGTTAGCTTCAGCTCAAGTGGAAACACAACACGGTATGACAGCTTCTTGTACCTTCCCAGCTGCTCCATGTACTTGAATCGCTTCAAATGTATCACTAAAATATGCGGCTGCTTCTTGATCTTCATCCTCTTTTGTGCTTCCTGTAAACTGTGGGCCCCCACAAAACATTAATAACACTTCCTTCATTAAAAAAAAAAATTGAAAAAGAAAGTAGAAAAAGAAACCTGCAGCACTTATCGCAGAAAAACTTATCCTCAGCATTTAAAGTCTCGGTGGAACTGAAGTTTTTTAAGCAACTTGTAATGGAACTGTTTTGCTCAATATCAAGGCTCAGATCCAAGAATGTCTCGTCTCTTGCAGTTACAGTCTCACATCTTAAACACTTTGTTTCATTTGTGAGTATGCCCTGAAATTGGAAAATTTTAATATTGGTAAGTAAAATGAAATATTAATTGTTGAAATATAATAATGAAATGAATATACCTGAAAGTTTTTGTGAACCCATGTAACCAAGGGCTCCTTTCTAACACCATTGGCTTGAGGCATATGTATACCATTGGGAATCTTTTCAGGAGGTGATGAATGTTCTTTTGTACCTTTTGTTTCTTTCTCTAGTATATCAACTAGTTCGTTTAACAAGAAGTTTAAAAATTCATGTGCATCCTACACAAAACTCAAATCATCATCATCATCATCATCACTGATATTTGAAAATTTAAGTATAAATGGATTTTAATGTTTCATATTTCATATTATATTATATATATAATATCATACCTGATGCATGTAACCACGGAAAAGTTCGTTTTCTTTCTTCACTCTTTGTACAAAGCGTTTTGGAGCAATAACACCTGTTTTCTTCTTTTGTGTGCTAATCTAATATAAATCATGAGGAAAATAAAATGCGACTTTAAAAAAAAAAACATATATGGAATGGTTACAAGTATGGTAAAGGCCGATTGTGTGGAGGAATATAAAGTGATTTAAGAGAAAAGAACTACTATTAACTACTAAGGTTATTTACAGGTGAAAATGTGTACCTGTGTAAACAGTTCTGCCAAACATGTAAGGAGATTTTCTTCTACATCTGGATTTTTAACCTTCTCATAATATTCGAGTAGCTGTTCACGAAATGGAACACAAAAATATAGAGCCTGAAAGATATGATTTAAGAAAAAGATATATAAAATAGTTCAGGTCAAACTTTGAGTGAAGTTATAACAAGCAACATGAATTTCTAGGCTTTTTCAATATCTTCAAGAAGGACTACTACTAAGGTAAAAAGAGATGGCAGTTCAATTGAAGGCCAAAAATATGACTATTTATGCATTTGCACTTTTACAGAGCCAAGTTTATAGCATGGTTTATAACATACATTTTGTTGAAAGCAAAAAAAAGAGAGAGAAAAAAAAAGTATGTAGTGGGAGAGAATGAAAATAAGGTTGCAAATTAGCATGTGTAAAGAACAGATCTATAAATTCTATTCCATTGATGTAGCTTTTGAATCGAATCATAATTCTGCCATTTGACAAGATGCTTCAAGTACCATTCCTGGTACCCCTTTCTTTAAAACTACAAGACATCCAAAGAACTGAAGAAAATGCTTCCCAAACCAAATAATTATCAAGAAATATCTTTTAACCATATATAAACTCAAGACGTTAAATCTGAAAACTGCAGAAACTGGCCCAAAATGAAGTCAAAATATGCATTTCTCGTGTTAAATTGATCGAAAGAAGATACTCTAACACATCGGGTCAACTGAACTAAAGTTTAGCAAGTTATATAGATAAAGTTTAACTCCAGACGCCACTAGAAATATTAAGTTAATCTTTCTATAACCACTCGAGTAAATAAACCAATAAGATCGTATTCATTAAAACAAACCCTACCAAATCAAAATAAGAAAAAAAGGAAATCGGATGGAACCTGGAGGACGCTGTTACAGTAGCAAGTGTTACCGAAGTTTTCTAGTCCGAAATATCGTTCGCCTTCAGGAAATTGGTCTCCTAGAGCTTTCTCGAGCTTTGACCCCGCTGCGCCCATGAGACCATCCACCAAATACCAGAATTCCTCTATTTCTTTCCCTCTCTATTATATCTATCGTAACCCCTTCAATCAAACCTAGAAAACTTTGGTAAAATATTGCAATTGTAGAGAAATTCGTTATGGATTGAAATGCTATTGCCTAGGGTTCTTCAGATAACATACAAACACGCTGGAAAATAGATTTTCTGTGCAATCGGTTAGGGTTTATATTAGAAAACGGACATTTCAAAGAGAAAGCGTGAAGAATCCGAAACAGTTTGATCGGGTTTCTTTATTTTATCAAACACTCTCTCTGCCCCCTTTGATTCTTTCCAAGTTGACTCCCCTCATGGTTGCTTGTGGTGCATATAAAACTAAATTAAATGTGTAATATATAATAATTGAAAACAAAATGAAAAAAAAAAAAAAGTAAAATTGATTAACCTTAAAGTGATAATCGATCTGTGTTATTGTATCCATTTAACATGTTTATAATCACGTTAAAACTCGTAAAAGCCACGGTTGGTTGATATTTTTTAAATAGAACTAAAATTTTGATTGTATAATAAAATAAAATATCATTAGTTCAGGACTAAATTGCAAAAATGGTGCCCGTGTAATGCATTTTTTTGAGGTTTTAGTTTAAACCCTGACTTTTTTGGATTGGTAGTTCTTTTGAGCTACTTTGCTTGCGGTTTTGGTTCCTATCCAAACTAAAAAGACTATTATACCCTTAATGAATTTATTTTTCATTTTTCTTTCACTTTTTAATAATAATATTATTATTAAATATAAAAGTGGGCCCACTTATCCACCCCACCTCTCTCTCTCTCTCTCTCTCTCTCTCTCTCTCTCATTTTTCTTTCATTTTTCTTTGTTTGTGCAATGGAGTATGTTGTCGCGCCAAGCATGACCTTTTTATGCCATGCATGTTCCTGTTACGCCAAGGTGGTAATCTTGCTCTAACCTAGAAGTTCTTGCGCCACACTTGAAGCCTGTTGCGCCATCCATACACTTGTTGCACCATCATGGCAAAAGCTGGACCATATTGGTTCATTATGAGTCAAGTATGCTATGAAGTCCTATATGATGCTCAAGATTGTTCAAGGATGCTCAGAAGTTGGTATTGCTAAAGGATTACACCATGTTGTGCCACCAAGATGGATGTTGGGCCATTAGTGTTCATGATGCTCCACTTGTATATCATGATGCTCCACTATGGCACAAGATGCTCCATCATGTGGGTTGTTGATGCTCATGAGTTGTATGCCATGGATAAATATTTCAAAAAATGATGCATGTCAAATTGTGATTGGTTGACACCTTTCATGGGACTATGGGCCAATGGGCTTGGGTCATTAGGGTTTTAGGTCTGATTCCTCAAGTATAAATAGGGATGCATGCTAGATCATTTTGTATCTTGAATTCTAGAGTGATAGGCGAATCTCTGTGTAATTGTACTTGTAGCCTCTGTTTGAGAACTCTGAAATAAAATAATACTTCCCTCCTTCCCATGGACATAGGTCACCTTGACCGAACCACGTAAATATTGTGTCCCGTATGCTTATAGTCTTGCTAGTTATCCGCTTTTCTTCCTAATAAGCAGTATCAGAGTTGTGATTTGTATTCCTGTGATTGAAGATGTCTACTCATAAGTTTGATTTTGAGAAATTCAGTGGTTTAAATGACTTCACATTGTGGAAGGTGAAGATGAAGGCTCTTTTGGTTCAACAAGGGTGTGCAGCAACACTGGAAGGAGAGGCAAAACTACCAAAGGACATCGCAGCTGAGAAAAAGGTGGACATTCTGACGAAGGAACATAGTATCATTCTATTGAGCTTAAAAAATGAAGTACTGAGGGAAGTCGTGGATCACAACTGCTTCTGGGCTTTGGGATAAACTTTTTGATAAGTACGATAACAACTTACTGATGAACAAGTTGTATCAGAAGCAAATGTTGTACACTATCAGATTGTCTGAAAGTACCCAAGTGAAAGATCATCTAGATAACTTCAATCACATCATCTTGGATCTATAAAGGGTTGATGTGAAGATTAAAGATGAAGATCAGGCGCTTATTCTCTTATGTTCTCTTCCGAACTCATATGAGAATTTTGTCGATACCATGCTCTTTGGTAGGACAACGATCAATGTTAATGATGTGAAGGACTCTTTGATGTACAAGGAACTGAAAAGAAAAGTTTCAGTTGGAGAAGAGGTGTCCAACTCTGTTTTGTTCACAGGGAGAGGAATGGCATAAGAGAGGAAGGGGGAAACAGAGGGATATCATATTAAAAATCGAAGTCTAAAGGTTCACCGAACGCGAAATGTTATAACTTTAAGGAGAATAGACACAGTTCAAAAGTGAATCAACTAGCAGTAAAACTGTTGTTGTGGTTCAAGAAAGTTTTGATGAAGGGGATGATGTATTGACTGTGAGTATATCAAGTTCTATTGATGCTTGGGTCTGGGATTCTGGAGCATCCTATCACATGATGTATAATCGTGATTGGTTCGACTCCTTCAAAGAGTGGGATGGCACAATCAAGATGGGTGATGAGTGGGTTAGTAATATCAAAGGTAGTGGCACAGTGCAGATTAAGATGCATAAATGCATGGTTAGGAAGTTAGATTGCTAGTATGTTCCAGAACTTTGGAAGAATTTAATTTCTCTTGGCATGTTGGCTAAGAATGGGACAAGGTACGTTGGTGAAGGTGATTGGATCAAAGTGACCAAAGGTTCTTTTGTTATAATGAAAAGGGAAGATGAATCATGGAGGGATCTATATCCTAAGAAGGTAGTAAAGTTATAGGAATGGTGGCTATCTCCCAATCCTTGAATGAAGGTGATGAAAAGACAGAGTTGTGGCAACGTAGGTTGGGGCACATGAGTGAGAAGGGCATGTCAAATCAAAGTAAACAAAGAATTCTTGGTGGAGATGCTACTGGAAAGATAAAGTTTTGTGAAGCTTGCGTTAAGGGAAAGCATCGCAAAGTGAAGTTCGGTACCAATCAACACACAAGCAAGGAAATCCTGGAGTATGTTCACTCATATATGTGGGGTCGTGTACTAGTGAAGTCTCAAGGAGGATGTTCCTACTTTGTGACGTTCATTGATGACTATTCAAGGAAAGTTTGGTTGTACTTTATGAAGACCAAAGATAAGGTGTTTGAGAAAAGGATTGAGGAGTGGAAGACCATGGTTGAGAAAAGGATTGGAAAACAGGTCAAGACTATGAGGACTGACATCTGACAATGGGTTGGAATTCAGCAATGCTCCATTTGATAATTTCTACAAGGCAAAAGGTATAGTAAGGCACTGCACTGTACGACACACACCACAAAAAATGGAGTGGCAGAACGGATGAACCAAACACTCATTCAACATGCTAGGTGCATGCAAATATTTTCTAACTTATACAAACAATTATGGGCGGAAGCAGTTAACACTACTTGCTATCTGGTGAACAAATCACCATCAACTGTAATAGACTTGAAGACTCCTCAAGAGGTATGGTCCGGGAAACCTTATGACTATTCTGGTTTACGTATATTTGGATGCCCCACATATGATGATGTGAATGATGGTAAACTTGAGCCAAGGGCAATGAAGTGCATATTTCTAGGATATGTGATAGGAGTAAAAGGTTATCAACTGTGGTGTACAGAAGAAGGAAGAACTCCTAAATTTACAAGCAGGGAATAAAGATTAGGGTGCTAGCCAAAAAATGGAGTTTGAGTTTCAAACTCCATACAAAGTTTTGATAAGTGACAGAGAGCAATGCAGCGGTAAACAACATGGACAAGATGAAACCCAAGAGCAACCCATGGGATCTTCGTCCAATGGTGCTGATACCGGGAAGGATGATGGGTCTGAATCTATAGCAAAGAGAAGATAAAAGAGGGTCATTCGACAACTTGATAGATATGTGGGATGTGTGAATTTAGGTGAACTTGACTCCATTGCTTTTACTTTAGCAATTGGAGAAGACAATGACACTGAGGAGCCTTAATCGTATAAAGAGGCTGTGGCAAGTAAATAAGTAAATGACTGGTTGATGGCCATTAATGAAGAAATGCAATCTTTAGAGAAGAATGAAACATGGGATCTTGTTCAATTACCAAAGAGAGCAAAGTCAGTTGGATGCAAATGGATCTTTAAGAAGAAGGAAGGGATACTAAGAGTTGAACTGGATAGATTCAAAGCAAGGTTGGTGGTGAAAGGGTTTTATCCGAAAGAAGATTGATTATCACGGGGTGTTCTCACCGGTCGTGAAGCACAAGAAAATTCGGGTTCTTTTGGCCATGGCGAGTACATTATTTGGCTCCTACTCAAATGTTGTTGCAAGTCTTATGTATGTTATGGTCTATACTAGGCCTTATTTGGCTCATGCAGTTAGTGTGGTTAGCAGGTTTATGAGTAATCTAGGGAAAACTCATTAGGAAGTTGTAAAGTGGATATTATGATACTTAAAGGGATCGACGAATGTTTGCTTGGTGTATGGAGCTAATATGAATAGTGACTTGGTAGGATATTCTGACTCTGATTATGGTGGTGATTTGTTGAAGTGCAGGTCACAGACGTGCTACATATTCACTTTGTTCATATGTACCATCAGTTGGAAGTCAACGTTACAAGATACCGTTGCTTTGTCTACAACTGAATCCAAGTAAATGTCCATGACAAAAGGAATAAAGGAGGAGAAATACTTGCAAAGGCTTATTAAGAGTCTTGGTCTGAAGGTGTAGAATCCTGTCTTGTATTTTGATAGTCCAAGTGCTTTGAGTCTTGCTAAGAACCATGTGTATAATGTGAAGACAAAGCACATTGATGTCATACTGAATTTCATTTGGGATATTCTGGAAGGAGACAAGTTTTCAATACCGAAGATTAATAGCAAGGTCAACCTAGCAGATATGTTGACAAAGTTATTCCCTACTGAGAAGTTCAAGCTTTGCTTGGACTTTGACTGATGTTCATAGGAGGTAGGTCTCTTCGGGGATGAATGGCAGGAATGGAGAGGAAGTTCTTGTTCGAGGTGGAGTTCAGAGGATGATCAAGTCAAGATAGAGATTGTTAAATGTGACTCGAGCATTTAGATCATGTTCATGGAGCATTTCGATAACTTGGAACTAAGTGGAGCACTTGGGGTTCATGTAGTATACGACAAAGGAATGGATCATCTGATAAAGGAATGGATCGTATGACAAAGGAACGAATCATACAGAAGGGGGTTTGGAGCACCTGGAAGAGGTTTGGAGCATTTGGGGTGAGATGGTATCACACACAGTTAACGTGGAAACACGAAGGGTGACAGACTAAGGTCTCATAACACAAGGTAAATAGGATTACCAACCATAATCATTGAGTATTTTTATGTTTACATCATATTTGA